AACAAACAATAAACACAAAGTCTCACCACTACTGCCACCATCACCACCAAAACAACAGAAGAACATACCACCCATTTAACCAAGCCAGAGGTTTGGGAAAGCTTTAATCACAAGCTGTGTGTTAAAACTTTCTTATAAGCAACTTTTATTCCCCATGACTTTGTTGACTTTGGCTAGGGTTTGAAAGCTGGATCTGAGGGAACTGTAGCCTCCTATGTGCCCCGCCCAGAGACTTGTACTAAGACCACCTGGGGCAAATCGTCCCCAGTTCTGATGAGGCCTGATGAGAGCAATCTCCCCGGCACTACGTTCTTTCGGCAAAGGCATCTTCCAGCCGATCGATCACCAACTGCTCAGCCAGCACACAGCCACCTGGAGTCACCTCTCCTTCCCCAGCTTCCTCTGCACCCTGGCAGACCAAAGTTCAATGGTCAGTGGCTGCTCAGAAGGCTACTTAGGGCTCATGCTGTTTTGAAAGGTATATACATGGTCTCCTCCATCTTGACTCTTGTTTCTCAATCCACAGTGCTGTTCTCCCCCTTTCGGTTCCCCAGAATTAATTTCAAAATCTAAATGCTTTGCTTGGCTGTCCTGTTATCTAGTCTCTGTGGGTTTACTACTTGGATGTGAATATTCTCTCTCAAACACAGGAACAAGAAAAGGGCAGGTGTGCTTACCAGGTGCCTCTAAGTGAGCTCACCCCATTAATTCAGAGTCATTTTGCACAAGGAGGGCTCCTGTCCACTTCAGTTTTTCATTCTCTCCAGGATGTTAATTGTTTTTCTGTGGATAATCTTATAGTTTTGGCCTGAAGTCTAAAATACGGCCTGCTGGGCTATGTGTCAGATTTGTAAATTAAACGACACCTGTTTTGAATTTTATCATCTTTAATTTTCTTCCAAGCTCTCTTCACTTCCTCATTTCCCCTTTAATTGTAAGGATCAGACTTTACTGAATGCTTTCGACAAAAGTATAGACCTTTCTGCTTTGAGGAGCACAGATTAAGATTACTGAGGCCAAACGGTCACACTACAGGCTATTCAGGGAAAAGATGTTAGGAGAGAAGCCGCAGCAACCACCCCAGAGGGGATGAGCAGCTGATACAAAAGGTCTGCTGTCCACACCAGTGTTTCGAAGTTCCCACTGAAGTAATTACAATCGATTAGAAGGGGATTTACAGTGAGGGTTGTAGCGGGTGAAGCATTTGAAATTGAGAGGTTGAGGTGGTGGCGATGGCGGTGGTGGTGGTACGTGAGGTGAGAGGTGACCTTTTCATCTCTTCGCATTTAACTTTTCTCTGTTTTTTCTCAGAGAAATAAAAGGAGGAGAAACTTAAATGTGTTCTCATACATAAAGACACATTTTGATAGTGATGCCTTATTTTTTCTCCTATCTACATATCTCCTAAATTCTTCTTTTCACGGGAAAATTGTCTATTGCTGATTGGATTGGGCCTAGGTATTAAGGATCAATTTTTCTGTTAGAACGCCTAATGAAAGCCTTGTATAACTTGTTTTTTCTTTATATAAACATTTTTTGTACATGTAACCTCACAGATGCCAATTGGCCTCTTGCAACTTTGCATTTGCAGAGCAATAGCAGAGAATGGATGGACCGCTGGCTAGAATGTGAGCCCAAGCTTTGAAATCCGATGCACAAGGCAGTCATCACTGGCAGAAGAAATAAGCAGGCTGGCTGTGTGCAGAATACAAAATGGCTCCCCAAACACCAGCTGTAGAGCTCTAGACCAAATTTCTAAAACTGTATCATGAAAACTGGCCACCAGGGACCTGGGGCTTGCATATAAATGACAAATGATCCCTTCATGATGCTGGCCTTGGATTTCTTGGATGCTGCTGTGTTTAGGCTGTTGCTAGGCAGGTCGTGGGTCTGTGAAAATGCTATTTTTAAATGGAATATGTATATAGCAGCGGTTCTCAACTGGGGTGATTTTTGTGTCTTAGGGGGCATTTGGCGATGTCTGGAGACATTTTTGGTTGTCGTAACTGAGGAGGAGGGCTGCTATTAGCATCTAATGGGTAGAGGACAGGGATGTTGGTAAATGTTCTATAATGCACAGGGCAGCCCCACAACCAAGAATTATGGAGCTCAAATTTCAACAGAGCCAAAGTTAGAAAACCTGGTTTGTAGGCCTTTATACACTGAACAGGGCAACAACTGCAATGTCTTCCTCGAATGAAAAGCTACTGTTGACTGTGATGATCATATTGGCCAGATAATATTCTCTGTGCATAGTGGGCCTTCCTGGATGGGCTCCTCTCCTGCTGCCTCTTTCCTTGATTACTAGTGCCACCTTCCACATGTATGCAGTCGCTCAAGCTAGATATTTCCGGGTTTTCATCCACTCTCCTCCCTTCTCCTTACCCTACCTGCCATTGGTGATCAGTTCCTCATAATTCTGCATCCTCTATGATGACCTGTCCTGACATCCTACGTCTCCACCACCAACTTGGGCTAGGCCTCCCTCACAATTGGAGGAGACTATTGTTAAGGCTCCAATATAGCATAGCATCCCAGCCACTGTCACTCGCCATCCTGCTGCTCCAGCCAAATCCGTTCAGTGCTCCACAACGTTAGCCACTTCCTCATTCTCCTAGTCCTTTGGTGAAGAAATACTCACGAGTGCCTACTGTCTGCTAACTAGTGAGCTAGGGCCTGTGATTTTTCACTGGATTAAAATCTTTCCAAGCCTCCATATTGCTTATCGGATGACCCCTCACTTCCTGACATAGCATGCAAAGCCTCTGACCTAACTTTTCAGCTTACTTTCCCACCCTTCCCTGGTGTACTTGCTCCAACCACAATGGTTAATTGCTTTTCCTCCCTTTGGGTCACACACACTTAAGCCCTTGTATTGCACATTGCGCGTGTTATGCTCTGTATTTGGAGTGTCCTTTCTACTCTTATCTGAGGAACTCTTCTTCATCCTTTGCAACTTAATCTAGTACCCAGAGAAATGCTTGGCACATGGAAGCTACTCAATAAATATGGAATGGTCTTAAATTTCTCCTGCTCTGTGAAACGTTCTTTAATTCCCCAGCTGTTGGTCAGCACATCTCTCACGCACCACAACCTGTTGTATGTGCTTCTCCCCAAACCCCGTCACCTACCTGACTGTGAACTCTTGGGACCTCCAGGCTCTGTGCCATGCTGGACATAAAGTAGACCCTGTGACTAAATGATTACTATTTTGTCAAGACGGCTTCTCATGTTTTTGGAATCCTTATTTCATGGAAATGGTATGCATCATTTGTTAGCCCCAAAACTGACAACATTTGACGCTAGTCACAAATGGGCTCTGCTCCTTCGCCAGAGCTGAATGCCTTCCAGTGCATGGGATCTGAGCGGTGGAGATGGGGATTTGAGGCCGTCCTTACCGCCTACTCACTGTGCAACCTTGGGAAGACATTTAACCCGCCTCTGAGCCTGTTTCTTCTTCTGTAAAATACAAATAGTGATATCTGCCTTCCTCACCTTTCGGGTGATCATGAGGATCAAATGAGATCATGTCTTTGAAAGTACTTTGTAGCTTCTAAAGGTCGTAAAGCTTTACAAGTGTCTCCCTATTCAAAATATAGCAAAACAAAATAAACCCCTCCCTCACTCTTGCATGGTCTTCTTTATTTTTTTCCGCAAACTTCCTGAAAGGGTCAGTTTTGTGCATTGTACCCACTCTCCTCTTTCAACCCCTGGTACTGTGCCTCTGCCCAGCCATGCCTCTGGAGCTCACACTCCACAATCATCTGTAATTTCCTCATGGCCAGCTGCCACAGACATTTTTCTGTCCTTCCCTCGCTGGACCTGACTCCAGGCTGCCTCTTCCTGAGACATTCTCTGCACTGGGGCCAGAGTGAGCTTCCTGAAACACGGATTCTGTCCATATCCTGTGATGTACAAAACCCCACAATGACTCCTCATAGCCTACAGGGTAGAATTCAAACTCCTGAGGAAGGAATGTCAGACCTACCATCATGGTCCTTGCTCAGTCCTTCATCAGCATTACCTAATGTTGTTCTCCTTGTAACACACACCCTAGCCATACAAAACGACTCCTGTTTCTAAAAAGTGCTGTGCTCTTTCACATGCTGCCCAAAAGACAGCCTGGTGCAATCTGGTCATCTTTCAAGATTTGGTTCAAAATATCAACTCTTCTGAGAGGTCTTCCCTGTTCTCAGTTTCCCACTCCTCTCCATTCTGTGCAGAATTAGATACTCCCATCTCTGTATTCCCTAGAATCCTTGACCTCATCTTGATTAGCATAATCTCCCCACTATTCTCGAATTACTTACTTAAGTACTTATCTCCTCGACTAGACAGAGAGCTCCTTGGGTACAAGGAACGTGTTTTATCTCTCTCTATATGTCTAGCTTCTGGCAGAGTTCCTGGTACAGAGTAAGCAATTGTTAAATACTTGTTGACTAAGTAAATGAGTGATATAAACATTAGTATTTGTACTACATTCTTATCCTTTTACCACATTTTATGCACTTTTAAAAAATAATTGTGTTACATTCTAGTTTTCACAGATTTAGAAAAAAATTCTGGCAAATGCCATAATCCATTCAGAAGATACTCTGTGTTGAGACAGTGGGTTTGGCTTTCCTTTTTTTTTTTTAAAGATTGGCGCCTGAGCTAAAAACTGTGGCCAATCTTTTTTCTTTTTTCCTGCTTTATCTCCCCAAATCCCCCCGGTACATAGTTGTATATCTTAGTTGCAGGTCCTTCTAGTTGTGGCATATGGGCCGCCGCCTCAATGTGGCCTGACGAGCGGTGCCATGTCCACGCCCAGGATTCGAACCAGTGAAACCCTGGGCCGCTGCAGCGGAGTGCGCAAACTTAACCACTCTGCCACGAGGCCATCCCCAAGGGTTTGGCTTTCTTTTGGAAGTTTCACACCTACAAAACAAAGTGTTGCTGTCTGTGCTATGCCTCTATGGATTCACAACAGACCCCTGAGGTCCATAACAATTCCTGCTCACCTGCCACTTCTGGCCTTGGCAGTCTCCAGTTGTTGGGTAAGGAGCTTGGCAATGGCAGTGAAGCTGTTGCTCATGCGAAAGATGTCTCTGCTCTGAGGGCCCAGGATGGAGGAGAAGGCATCAGTGATGCTCTTAATCTCCAGCAGGAGAATATGATGAAATGAATGCTCCATGTTGGCCAGCTGACTCACCAGGAATGGCAGGCAGCTCCTGGCTCTCTCCTGCCAAGAACAACGAAGAACAGTGTGCAAATGTTGGTGGGAATGTCAATTGGGGCAGCCACAATGGAAAACAGTACGGAGGTTCCTCAAGAGATGAAAAATAGAACTTCCGTATGATCCATCAATCCTACTTCTGGGTGTATATTCAAAGGAAATGAAATCATTATCTTGAAGATGTATCTGTACTCTCATCTTCCATAGCAACATTATTCACAACAGCCAAGACATGGCAACTGCCTAAACATCCATGGATGGATGAATGGATAAATAAAATGTGGTCTATATATGCACAATGGAATACTATTCGACCCACAGTCATGTCATAAACCATGTCATAAAAAAGAAGGAAATTTTGCCATTTGCGACAACATGGATGAAGCCAGAAGACATTATGCTAAGAAAATAAGCCGGACAGAGAAAGACAAATATCATATGGTCTCACCTATATGTAGAATCTAAAACAAACAAATGAGCACACTTGAACTCATGAAAGCAGAGGCTGGGCAGGGGGGAAACAGGGAGAGTTTGGTACAAGCTTTCCGCCACAGGATGAAGAAAGTCTGAGGATTCAATGTGTAGCAGGGTGACTATAGTTCATAATACTGTATTGTATTATTGAAATTTGCTAAGAGAGCAGAACTTAAATGTTCTCACCAAAAAAACGTAATCTGTGAGATGATGGACGTGTTAATTAAGTCAGTGGGGGAATCCTCTCACAATCTACACGTGGTACGCTTTAAATATCTTATAATTTCACTTGTCAATTATACCTCAATAAAGCTGGGGGGAAAAAAGAACAATGAAGAACAAAGGTCTGTGTTTTAAAAGAAAATCAACGGGGAATTTAGAGAGCGAGCTGAAGAGAAATAATGTTTCATTCATAGTGCCTCTGAACCGGCTTCTTTGAGGTTTTAATTTTTTTTTCCTGATTTCCAGGACAAATTTTTTTAAATAAAACTTTTTTTCTTTTACTCTTTTCCTAGAAATATATAAATAGTCTCATTCGCCTGTCTTGCCAAAACCTCTCAACCACCATTCATGTACTGGCCCCACACAACTACCCTTCCCAACTTCGCATCCTCCTTGGGCCAGTCTCCACACCTGACTCGATGACTCCACCTGCCTGGGGACAGCATGATCCATGGCACCCTCCATCCATCCGTCTGTCAGATGACGCCAGGTAGCACACGGGTGTGCAAAGCTTACTCCTCTCCACAGGGCATTCTCACTCACCCGTTCACTTGAAGCATCTTTCATCATGTTACAGATTTTATGTGCCTGGTTGAGTGAGTAGATTATATTATCTAGCTTTAATCAAGTTCTCTCTCACAAGTGACTTCAATAGGTTCCTTCAAAGAAATGGAAGATGAAGGACTATATGAATAATGCAGGCACGAGTGAATAACAAGAAAATGGCTTAGCGGACTTGTCTCTAAGACTCATCAGCCATATTATGAGGTAACATGATTTAACCCAACATGACTAGAAGTTAGCCAAAAAAATTCAAAGTTATCAAGGAGGTTACTCAAAACGTAGATTTGTACCCAATATAAATAATGATATGCCATTATAAATAAATAAAAAGAATTTAAAATATAGTTTATTTCATCTTTAACTCCTCTTTTAAAATCTTACTTTTTAAAGTATTTAAAAATTGTTCATAATGTTAGTGTAGTAGAACATACGTATAATTATTAATAAACATGTACTGGCAGTTGATGCTCAAAATTCTTTTTTTTTTTTGCTGAGGAAGATTTGCCCTGGGCTAACATCTATGCCAATTTTCCTCTTTTTTTAGTGTGTGGGCTGCCAGCACAGCATGGTCACTAACAGAGTGGTGTAGGTCCACGCCTGGGTAACAGAACCCAGACCAGCGAAGTAAAGCACACCGAACTTAACCACTAAGCCACCAGGGCTGGCTCTCAAAATCCTTTTCACTGATAGGTATACAGGTCTAAATTACTTTTCTAGCTAGAAATTCCCTTTTACCCTTTGTTCTAGGGTTTGAAGCCTTAATTTCTTTCGAGATATAGCTCCTGTCATGTCACCTCCACGAAGTTGTTCCCAGTGATCTCTTCTGTCTGAATTTTTACCACATTATAGACTCATTTTAAAAGTCTTATTAGTACTTCATTGAATTTGATCATTTATTTACTCATGCTTTTATTCAGTCACCAAATAGATATTGCCTGCCTATAATATGCCTGTGCTAGACGCTAGATGACAAAGGTGAATGAGAGGTGGACTCTGCCTAAGGGACGTGCAGTTCCCCCTTCATTTATAATTCCCTGATGGTTATACGTGCCTGTCAAGTACCACTCAAGGGGCTACTTCTCACACATCAATCACCAGCCTGGCACGGAACTGATCCTGTGGAGTCCACGCCCAGCGTGCATGTCTCGATTCACTGATTTAAGCAAACCTTATATGCCAAAAGATGACTTTACGTATAAAGTATGTAGTTGCAAAGGAATTCTGAGCTTTACAGGAAATATTTATTACAGAACAGATTTAAGCAGTGAAGTTCCCTGGTCTTAATGCTTAAGTTGATTTTCAAAGATTCCATGTACAATTGCACTGGAACACGTCTCTTGGGGAAGTGGGCTACATCTGCCAATCCACCCTTTCATCATTGTTAAGACTCACTAGGACGCAGTGCTCTGTCTGGGTGTGTGAGACGCTTCCATCAACTGGCAGCTAATTGAAGAGATATTTATTCATTAAAGGAGAACAACATTAGATGAACGAAAAGTAAAGAGCACTGGATCACATTTCTAACAGCCCATTTTATACTTTGGCTCATGCAATTGCCAGCTTGCAGAAGGACATTTAAATACTCTTGAGTCTAATATTTTTTTGCAACATAGATGCTTTCATTCATGCAAGGGTTCCATATGTGAATTCACAATATGCAGTGCACCACAGGGACGTTTTCCATTCCCCATTTAAAGGCAAAAGCTGGAGGTGGGGATTCCTACCACGTGCTAGGCATTGTTTTAGAAGCCAGGAACACAGCACTGAAGAAAAAGGATAAAAGTCTCTGCCATGATAATGAGGCAGACAGACAATAAGCAAAATACATAGGTAAACGCTATAGAGTGTTGGATGGAGGGATGTGCCTCAGAGAAACACGCAGGAGGCTGGGTGGGGTCTCAGGAAGGGGGTCCACGCTCAACAGTGCAGTCAGGTCATACCTCACAGAGAAGGCAACATTTGAAGTCAACAAGGTTCTAGAATCTAAACCCAACATTCTGAGTAACCATAGAAAACAATTACAGTAAAATCTGTGCTGCTTGCTACAGGGTCAGAAGATACAAGAACTGAGACACGGGAGGTGTGACATTTACAACAAGAATGTAACTTCAAATTCCAAGTAGCTTCCTCAGCTTCAGCTTCAGATCCTGTTTCAGCAATTTTTTAAAGCCATGCCACAAATAGTTCATTTGCTTATCTCAGAAGTGTCCCTCCCTATGGTTTCCTTATGAATTCTTCTCGTTATAAGAATTAGCAAGCCCTTTCTTTAAAGCACGTGTCTTCCTCAAGGTGAAGGTGACTGAGTGGGTAGTTGCTGAAATCCACATAATTCTGGGGGATCCTCAGGCAGCCAAATTGAGCTGAAGGGAAAATTAATCACAGGGCGGGAACAAGAAAACCTACGGCTGCTCAGGAACTCACGTATGAAACCAAGCCAACCTCACATCATTTGTTCTGAAAACTTGGAGCACGTCCATGTACCTCACAGGGGTAACAGATGTGGTTTTGGATTAGAAAGCGTGATGTTAGGCTAAGAAGGGGGTTAGGAGATTCTGATTTCCCTCTCGGCTCCATGATACTCTGTCTGTGGGGGCCAGTGACTGTGATTTTCTGCTTTCAGTCCCCCCACTGTGGGGACGGCGGCAGCAGCACCTGTCTGCCTTCATTGCAGGTCCGACTTCATCTCTTCTGATGTGAATTGATTATTTATTATTAAAATAATGATAGCTGACCCACAGAGAGCACTTCCTCTAAGTGCCAAGCCTATTCTACATGCTTTTTACCTATTTATTCATGTAATACTCCCAGTGGTATTATAAGGTATGTACTGTAATCACTGCCATTTCGCAAAGAAGAAACTGAGGCACAGATAGAAGACCAACTTGCTCCAGGTTGCATTGCCCTCTAAGCTGTGTCCTCACTGGCTACACCCCAGCCCTCCCGTCAAAAGTCCACCCCCCAGGCCCATATTTTTCCACTCCTTTTTTCTATATCGTATTCACCATCACTTATGTGGTCCTTTTCATTTAATTATTTTTGATTTCATAATATAAACATCACAAATACTCTGTAAATACAAAATAGACCAGCAGGTCTCAAACCTTTTGGTCTCAGGACCCCTTTACTCTCTTAAAAATTGTAGAAGGTCCCAAAGAGTTTTTGGTTGTCTCGAGTTATGGCTATTGATATTTACCATATGTTAAGTTAAACCTGACAAATTGAAAAGAATATCTGGAGACACGTTCAGTTGTCAGAGCTGGGGATGGGAGGAAGGGCTGGGCAGAGGCCAGAGATGCTGCCAAACATCCTACAATGCACAGAACAGCCCCAACAACCCAGAATTACCTGGCTCAAAATGTCAACAGTGCCAAGGTTGAGAAACCCTGAGTTAAGTGAAACTGGCTCCTTTTGTTTTTTCCTGGGACTGTGTGGTGGTGAAAAAGACAACTGTAAGGACACTTTGGTGCGGCTGTCTTGATTTGCGCTAAGGCCCTAGAAGTTTTACTCATCATTGCTTTTGTCCTTTCGATGCAAATGTCAACACAGTGAAGAAGGTGAGTGATGTACAAGCATCATTGTGAAAATAGCTTGGGCGATGCAGACCCCCTGAAGGGTCTCAGGGGGTCCTGGACCACACTGAGATTGGATGAACTAGAATCAAGGGTCAGCAGATTTTTTCTGTAAAGGACCAGATAGTAAATATTTTTGGCTTTATGGGCCATATGGTCTCTGTTGTGGGAAAACCA